ACAGCTCCAAACAAAGCTGGGAAAGCCCGAACAGTACTGCAAAACAAAACAAAAAAAGCGCACCAACCTTGCGCATTACCTCAGTAAACTAAAATTTTATTGAATACAGAATGATACTCACAAAACAGCGAAGTAAATCAAGCATGTAGGTCCTCAAAGGAACTTGAGAATTATGAAGCCTGCGCGAGTCCCATCATGAGGGTAGACACTCAGAGTACAGCTGACGCGTTTCGAAGGGCATCCCTTCTTCATCAGAGATAACTGAACTATGTGTACTCTCCCCCCATATATACCCTAGAACTGAAGCTGGGCCCTCCCTTCTGGGTTGGGCAGTCCCAAGCTGGGAGGAGGGGCCAAGGTGTCATCAAAATATTCCAACAAAATATGCTCGTAATACAATTCATTTTAAAAACTTGAAAAGAAATGCATGAAAAATACATAAAAACTACCGTATTTTTCGCTCCATAAGATGCACTTTTTTCCCCCCAAAAAAGGGGGGAAATGTCAGTTCGCTTTATGGAGCGAATATGGAACGGCTGGTCCGGTATTTCCGCCGCCAGAATACCGGTCGGCTGCTCAGCTCTCCTCTGCAGCAGTTCCTCGGTCCTTACCTGTTCCTCGGTCCAGCGCTGTGCAGTCTTCCCGCTCCGGCAACTTTAGTGTGAGCACCCTGCGCATGCACGAGAAGCGCTGTGCTTTGTGAATGGTCCGGCATCTTCTGGGACACATGACAGGTCCCAGAAGATGCTGGGCCATTCACAAAGCGCAGCGCTTCACGCACGCACACGCAGTGTGGGAACCCCGCACAGCCGGGTGCCCGCACGAAAGGGAGGACAACTCCGCGGAAGTGGGAGCAGGTACCTGTCAAATTCAGGTACCCGCTCCCCCTCCCTCCCCAAAGGTCCGCAGTCTCTTGGTCATCCCCTGTACTGTGTCCGCATTCTCTGGTCATCCCCTGTACTGTGTCCGCAGTCTCTGGTCATCCCCTGTACTGTGTCCGCAGTCTCTGGTCATCCCCTGCACTTTGTCCGCAGTCTCTGGTCATCCCCTGTACTGTGTCCGCAGTCTCTGGTCATCCCCTGTACTGTGTCCGCAGTCTCTGGTCATCACCTGTACTGTCTGCAGTCTCTGGTCATCCCCTGTACTGTCTGCAGTCTCTGGTCATCTCCTGTACTGTGTCCGCAGTCTCTGGTCATTTCCTGTACTGTGTCCGCAGTCTCTGGTCATCTCCTGCACTGTGTCCGCAGTCTCTGGTCATCTCCTGCACTGTGTCCGCAGTCTCTGGTCATCTCCTGCACTGTATCCGCAGTCTCTGGTCATCTCCTGTACTGTGTCCGCAGTCTCTGGTCATCCCCTGTACTGTGTCCGCAGTCTCTGGTCATCTCCTGCACTGTGTCCGCAGTCTCTGGTCATCTCCTGCACTGTGTCCGCAGTCTCCGGTCATCTCCTGCACTGTGTCCACAGTCTCTGGTCATCTCCTGTACTGTGTTTGCAGTCCATTGGTTCAGAATATTTTTTTTCTTGTTTTTCTCCTCTAAAACCTAGGTGCGTCTTATGGTCAGGTGTGTCTTTTCTTGGGTGAAAAATATGTCACATATATGGTACAGAGAAATTAAAAAATCTAAATAATATGAAAAAATCTAAATAATTATGAAATGATCAGGTATGATAGAATATGTATTACCAGACACCCTGGCTGCCTGGTAATATATATTCTATCATACCTGATCATTTCATAATTTGTATTCATTTATACACATTTTAATTATTAATTTATACATTACATCATATGCATTGTCCATTACCACTCTCCACCCTGAGACATTCCTTGCAATGGAAAATAATTTTATTTAAATATAAATATAGCTTACTTGAATATACTCATTTAAATATACACATACACCTACTCCAATCAGTCATTATCCTCATCTGGGTATGTTGTTATAACATTATTATTATTTTGATTTTTTAATTGCTCTTTTTTATGTAGTTTTTATGTATTTTTTCATGCATTTCTAGTCAAGTGTTTAAAATGAATTGTATTACGAGCATATATTGTTGGAATATTTTGATGACACCTTGGCCCCTCCTCACAGCTTGGGACTGCCCAACCCAGAAGGGAGGGTCCAGCTTCAGTTCTAGGGTATATATGGGACAGAGTACTATTAAATTAATATTAAATGAATAAACGTCCAAGTGCTAAATGCGATACTGCGTTTACATGCGTTTTTGCTGCGTTTAGCATTTTACTGCTGCCAGGAGAGTTATTGTCTAGGGTTGGTCCAGTGTACATGTAGCCTTAATTTGCAGCTTTCATTAACTACTTCAAGTCTGGACACTTTCCCCCACTTCCAGTCCAGGCCAATTTTCAGCTTTAAGCACCATCACACTTTGAGCAACAATTGTGCGGTCATGCAACACTGTACTCATATGAAATTTGTATCATTGTTTTGAGACAGATAGAGATTTCTTTTGCTGGTATTTGATCACTACTAGTTTTTTTATTTTTTGCTATATAAATGAAATAATACCGAAAATTTTGAAAAAAAAAACCCAACTTTTTGCTTAGTTTTTGTTTTAAAAAATAAAAAATCTTTCTTCATAAATTTAGGCCAAAATGTATTCTGCTACATTTTTGTGGTAAAAATAACCAAAACCAGTGTATAATATTTAGTCTGTATGATAGCTATAAAGTCTACAAACTATGGGATATATATTTGAAAATTGTTCAGTTGAGACCCAAAAATACTGGACACTGGTATGGGGGTGATTAAGACCTTGGCATGACAGTGATCACGACGCTGGTATGGGGTGGTCAGTACATTGGTATGGTGGTGATCAGGAAGCTGGTATGGGGTATGGTGGTGATCAGGAAACTGGTATGGCAGTGATCATGACACTGGTATGGGATATGGGGTGGTCAGTACACTGGTATGGGATATGGAGTGGTCAGTACGCTGGTATGGTGGTGGTCAGTATGCTGGTATGGTGGTGATCAGGACGCTGGTATGGGGTATGGCGATGATCAAGATGCTCGTAGGGCAATGATCTTGGCTCTGGTATGGGGTATGGTGGTGATCAGGACGCTAGTATGGGGTATGGCAGGGATCAGGACGCTGGTATGAGGTATGGTGGTGATCAGGACACTGGTATGAGGTATGGCAGGAATCAGGATGCTGGTATGAGGTATGGCAGTGATCAGGATGCTGGTATGGGGTATGGTGGTGGTCAGAAAACTGGTATGGAGTATGGTGGTGATTAGGACATTAATATTGGGTATGGCAGTGATCAGGATGCTGGTATGGCATATGAGGTAATCAGGATGCTGTTATGGGGTATGGTGGTGATCAGGATACTGGTATGTCATATGGGGCGATCAGGATACTGGTATGGCAAATGGGGTGATCAGGATGCTGGCATGGGGTATGGCAGTGATCAGGATACTGGCATGGGGTATGGCGGTGATTATAAAACTGATATGGAGTATGGTGGTGATCAGGACACTGATATTGGGTATGGTGGTGATCAGGATGCTGGGATGGGGTAAGGCTGTGATCAGGATACTGGCATGGGGTATGGCGGTGATTATAAAACTGGTATGGAGTATGGTGATCAGGACACTGATATTGGGTGTGGCGGTGATCAGGACACTGGTATGGCATATGGGGCGATCAGGATGATGGCATGGGGTATGGTGGTGATAAGGGTGCTAGTATGGCGTAGATCAAGATGCTGGTAAGGGGTATGGTGGTGATAAGGGTGCTAGTATAGTGTATGGCGATGATCAAGATGCTGGTATGGCGGTGATCAGGATGCTGGTATGGCACATGGCGGTGATTAGGACATTGGTATGGCGTATGGCCATGTTTTTGTGAGTCAGGTGACAGGGCTGACTGTATTGTTTACAATTGACTGCAATGGGCAGTGATCAGGGACCCTGGGGTGGCTGGCACTGCAGTCTGAGTGTACAAGCATCCTGACAGACTTCTGTACACTCACAGGCTGCTGCATTGCTTCTCTCTACTCTCACAGTGAGAGCAGAAAGAAGGGATCTTTACTTTCACTTTCAGTGTTTACAATGTGAGTGCTGTGATTGGTCAAAGCAATCACTTGATAAAACACCATGTGATCACCCAGACACAGCAATAATGTGATCTGCTGTGTCCGGGCGACATACTGATCACTAGCAGGGCCGGATCTAGCCAGTATGATATGGGGGTGCAGGAAAAATTTCAGGGGGCAGAGGATATGAAGTCTGCAGGGCAGGGTATAAAAACAGGAATCAATAGCGGCATGTACTGGGGGTCAACAGGTCAGAGGATAGGGGTTAGCAGAGCAGAGGGCAGGAATCAGCAGTTTGTAGGGCAGTGTACCAATCGACTTCTGTACAACCAGCCTCTGGGAAAATGTCCACGTGACCAGCACCACCAGTTCTAGCTGGCAGCACTTATCAGTGCTAAATGATAAGTCTCTCCGCTGTCAGAACACAATACCTCAGCGGGAGTGATTTCAGCATCCATGTGGGAACCCCGATGTTGAACAAAAAACAACGAATGTATAGACTGCCTCACTGAGCCTACCATAAGGAAGAATTTCATTAAAACAAGCAACTGTTGAGACAATGAACACCTTGGTCAGGTCTATTTACTGTATATCAATGCATAATGAACAGAGTACAGGGGTTAGGTGCAAGTAATATACAAAACAATATATTATTATTATTTATTATTAAGCAGGATTTATATAGCGCCGACAGTTTGCTCAGCGCTTTACAATATGGTGGGAGACAGTACACAAGACAGTACAGTAACAATACAATTCAATACAAGAGGGGTTCGAGGGCCCTGCTCCTTGGAGCTTACAATCTAGGAGGGAGGGGAGAGTTGTACAGGAGGAAATAGCTGTGGGGGATGGAGTGGTTGGAAAAGTAGAGGAGTTCCGTATTAGCTGAGGGAGGGGTAGGCTTCCCTGAAGAGATAGGTTTTCAGAGTGCACCTAAAAAGTGAGCAGAGTTGGCGAAAGTCTAATGGATTGGGGTAGGGAGTTTCAGAGGATGGGGGAAGCCCTGGAGAAGTCCTGGAGATGATCATGGGAGGAGGAGACAAGGGAGCTAGAGAGTAGGAGGTCTTGTGAGGAGCGGAGAGCATGGTTTGGGTGATATTTGGAGACAAGATCGGTGATGTAAGTTTGGGCAGTATTATGAACGGCTTTATACGTCAGTGTTAGCGTTTTGAATTTTATCCTTTGAGCAATTGGAAGCCAGTGGAAGGATTGGCAGAGGGGGGTGGCAGATACGGAACGGTTAGTAAGGTGGATGAGTCTAGCCACAGCATTCATGATAGACTGAAGTGGGGATAGCCTGCGGAGAGGTAGACCAATGAGGAGGGAGTCACAATAGTCAAGGCGTGATATAATAAGGGAGTGAATGAGTTGCTTAGTGGTTTCCAAGGTTAGGAACGGTCGTATCTTGGAGATGTTGCGGAGGTGAAGTCTACATGATTTGAACAGTGAATGGACCTGGGGCTGAAAGGGCAGATTGGAGTCTAGGATGACACCTAGTACTCTGGCTTGAGGGGTGGAACTGATTGTTGTATTATTGATCTTGATGAAGTCAGGGGGTGGGGGGGGCGTGGGGGCTGGGGGGAATACTAGTTGCTCAGTTTTGGAAAAGATTTAGTTTGAGGAAGTGGAGTGACATCCAATCCGATATGTCGCTGAGTAGGCTTGTGATACGGGCGGAGACTGAAGGGGCGAGGTGAGGGGTAGAGATAAATTTGCGTGTAATCAGCATAAAGATGGTAATTGAAGCCGTGAGAATTTATCTATTGGCCAAGGGAGGAGGTGTAGATGGAGAAGAGAAGGGGTCCGAGGACAGAACCTTGAGGGACCCCAACAGAGAGAGGGAGTGAAGAGGAGGTGGCAGCGTTATAGATAACACTGAAGGAGCGTTGTGATATATAGGAGGAGAGCCAGGAGAGAGGAGAGTCTCTGAGGCCAAAACAGTGTCGTTTTTTGAGGAGGAGGGGGTGGTCAACCGTGTCAAAAGCCGCAGAGAGGTCGAGGAGTAGGAGTACTGTATAGTGGCCATTAGCTTTGGCGGTTCAGGTCGTTGGTGAGTTTAAGTAGGGCAGTTTTGGTGGAGTGTTGGGGGCGGAAGCCAGACTGTAGGGGATCAAGGAGGTTGTTGTCGGTGAGGTGGGAACTCAGGCAATTATAGACCTAGCGTTCTAGGAGTTTAGAGGTAAATGGCAGCAGGGAGATGGGTCTTAGGTTGTTCAAATCGGTGGGATCCAGGGAGGGTCTTTTAAGTATGGGAGTGATGTGCGCGTGTTTTAGAGGGGAGGGGAAGGTGCCAGTAGAGAGGGAAAGATTAAAGATGTGAGTGAAGGAGCGTAGGATGGAAGAAGAGGGTGACCGTCGGAGTTGTGAGGGGACAGAGTCCATGGGGCAGGTGCAAGTAATATACAAAACAATATATGGAGTGCAACAGTTAGGAT